GCTACAGTGAAAGAGAAGAAAAAAGCTTCAAGAGCACTGATGTGTCTGAATTGTTCAAAGATGATTGTCCCGTAATTCTTTATAGATGTGAAAGTTGAACAATGAAGATACTCAGGGAAGAGTATTGACATCTCTGATCCTTGTTGCTGGATAAGACGTCTAAGAAAACTGGACCGCTAGAAAAACTAGTGAATTCTTGATCAAATCAAGCCCGAATTTTCACTCGGAACACAAATGGCCAGTCTTAAGCTTCTTATTTTGATCTTATTTTTAGCACATCGCAAGAAGATCCAGTGAATTGGCACAAACCATAATGCTTGGAAAAGATGAAGGTCAAAGGGGGGGGATTCCACAAAGCAGGATTTCTCGGTTAGCTGGATTAGCGGATGACTAGCAACAGGATGGACACATTCAGTCATCACAATGATGAATGTGCCCGTGGGGAGCTTGAGGAAGCAGACAGAACACAGGCCCTTCTGGCGGAATGCCAGCTAAATGCTCACCCCGAGTCCGCATCCACGTTACAGCACCCAATGATAATAGTAATAACAATAACAAAAGCCTGATGCAACTCGTCACGAACACAAATTAGCACCTCATGCTAAATGTCAAACTGCAATTGTGCGGGAGCCAATGGGATGGCAGCCTCAGGTGAATTATCCTATTTGTGTTAATCAAGATGGACGATTTCATCAACTCACATTTACTGCTCTCCATGAATCACTCTGTCAGTGCTTGTTGCACATCTCTGCCAATGCAATAGAATTTGAAATAAAACATGTGTCTTACATCATCGCCAGCTTTCTGTTAATTTTGTTGTTGTCCTGCTTGTCCCCAATGGTGGGGAAGTTACTTACAAAAGTAAAGGTAGAGGTAGAAAGTTCAGGTCCAGAAAGTACAAATCCAGACCAAGGTTTTGTGTCAACCAACCAGTTGAGTATAAAGAGTCCTGGACCTGAACTTTCCGTCTCTGTCTGTAATGGATTTACTTTTGGGAGTAACTTCCCCCAACACTGCCTGTCTCCAGCTGGAGATGCTGCATCCATTGAGAAAAAGTCCCAGTCCAAGGTTAAATTCAGAGGTCAGCATTATGTTGACAGCAGGTCACAGAGATTATCATTATCACCTGACCAGCAAGCCAGGCTTTGGGCAGTAAGTCCATCAAACCCAAACAGGATGCTTATCTGCAGAGAGTGGAGAGCGCTTCAGGCTAGGATTGCTGGGATAGGATGAGTGCTTTCTAATTAAACAATCATTAAACCATAGTCACTGATCTTGCCACAGAAGAGCAATCGTTCTCACAGCCAGAAGGGCTAAATCGATGATGATTTCTGATGCGAACTTGTAGAAGATTTCAGTTGATGATCTACCCACATTTATTGGCCCTTAGTATGTGTCTGTTGTGTTTTTCTGCCTTAAACAGTGTATTTAATCATTACATGGGTGTGATTCATTTGAGGTACTTCTCCCTTGAAAAGAAACGGTTTTAGGCATGGTGAATCCTATACAGACTGCGTTGGTAAATAACAAGATTGTGCAAAAGCCTCACATTTGGGAAAGGTAACGCTGTCAGTTTTAGCTGGATATGTTTGCACAGCTTAATGAGCTCAGTTTGAAGCTGATTTATGAATATTTATACCTGCCTAAAAAAATGGCAAGAAAATACATCTAATTCTGTGGGCTGCTGTTTTTGTGCGTTGAAATTTTAATGGATGCCCAGTTTTTTTACTCTCCTTGAACACCCAGTAGCAATTAATGTACTACTGGGATTTAAGTGGCACTTTCACTGAAATGCAGCTATTTTATTAACTATTCCTGTAGCCTGACTGCACCAAATATCAGCTAAAGTAATAAAATAATCTTTTCTAGACAACGGCAGAATAAAAGACTCTCCATGAGACAGCAGAAGATAAAATAGTTAAGAAAACAAAGGCTATTTCACTGTTCACGGGGCGTGTAATACAATTTTCTTTCACAATGTAGGATTTCACATGGTAAAGGGGAAAAACTTAATATCACTCTTGGTGGAATTTATCTTTCAGACATATTTACAAATTTGCGAAAGGTTGCGAAATTTATGGCCAACACTTAAAGTTGAATCTGTTACGAAAGCTCATTACTTTAACGGCTGAAGCGATGGGATCATTCGACTGCAGTGTCTCGTTAATGTGACGTGAATCATAGAAGCAGGAGAGACTGTAATCGATAAGGTTTTAAGTGTTTTGATGGCGTCTGCATTTGTGAGTTTACAGTCGAAGTTGGAAAGGATCACGATAAGCATAGCTGCAGATTTCCCTAAGATCTTTAATGGCAAGGATCTGATTATCTGTGCATTGATCGGAATAACAAATTAGCTGCATCTTGTATGGGTGGTTCTGCAGTGCAACCAGCTCTGTACTCATACATGTTCTGAGAAGACTTGAACGACCCTAGAGGGTTTGTATACCTGCACAGCTCCCTGGACATAAGCGCATCACCTGTCAGGCTTGATGTAATTTTACTGCAAGCTCCAGAGGTAGAAGAGGACAGCGAAGGTATTAGCCGCTCTTGCGGGGGACCCCCAGCTCCGATGGTCGTCCTCAGTTCAGCTGGCCATGAAGCTTCACTGAGTCGCTAATGATCCAGCACCCACTGCATGTCCAGGTAGGACCAGCGTTATTAGACAGCAGCTGGTGCTGATATCCGGAATACACGGCTCACAGTGGGTCACGGCGGGTAGCAGTGGGTCACAGTGGGTCACGGCGGGTAGCAGTGGCTCACAGTGGGTTACGGCGGGTACTAGTGGTCAGCAGTGGTCACAGTGCATCACAGAGGATAGTGGGTCACGCTGAGTAACAGTATGTCCCAGTGGGTCCCAAAGGCTTACAGTGTTATTAGTCAGTCACAGTGGATAACAGTGGGTGACAGTGGCTTACAGTGGGTAGCAGTGAGTTTCAGTGGGTAAGTGTGGTCTTAGTGTCTGACTCTGATAAGGTCACCATCTCCTCACTGTTCCTCTACCACAGAATGTCAGCTAAATGAAGGCACCTTGTCTGAGCTGCTGTTTTCCTTCACTTTCCTGGTTTTTACATGCGAATAAGGTGAAGCGCAGTTTGAATTGCGACGGCCTGCGATCCCTGTATCTGCGCTGCTTAACAGCATCCAGTTGGTGACGCTCATGTGAGGCCCCGCCCACTCCGGCCTCAGTGTCAGTATGGCATTCATCAGAAATGTCAACGGTGGCATCCTTCTCATCTTCCCTATGCTGTTATTGAGTGATTCTCATCTCAGCAAATAGCTTCTGTACGCTGAGGATCCCGTCCCCTGCTCTGCTAAAGCCAGTAACCGTCCAGGGGCCCGCCCGCCCACGGAAATTATAGGAAATTGCATCGCTTCTCGGGTTAATTAGGAGGCTGTCGTACTTAATAGCACATGACAGAGAGCAGCGTAAAAATTACAAACAGGAAGGCAAATTAGCAAAGGCATCATAGCCTAGCAGGCAATACCAGCAGGGGGGGGGGAGAGGCTTTAGGCATAGATCACATAGATTTCCAAGATGGCAGGGAGGTCGTCTTAGAACAAAGGTGATTGAGCGGCATTATCTGATCGTGAGGATGCAAATCCAAGCCCCTTCTTCTGTGATGCAGAGGGAGGATTGTCAATAAGCAGACAGCTTACTGTCTACACTTGGAGATCAATGGCTGATCCAGAGAATCATAATACAAAACCTCTATCTAGACGGCTACATACACAGTATATTATATTTATACATTTTCCACTCTCAGCTACATCACTAATTAGAGAATTGGAAAGCTTATGCTTATATACACACATATATGTACATATACCAATACAGCTTACATACATATAAATCAAAGGAACAATCACAGTCCTGTATAAGTAAAGTGAATCCTGAGGCCATTTTATGCTGTCTGAGGTCATTCTGTGACTGCCCATGGGTTAAATTTACACACACACACACGGTTTCCCACAATCCACTGGTGCTGGTCTAACCAACCACATCTTTAATCCCTTCCCAGTTTTAATCCAAGGCCCCCGATGGCCCGGAAGAGAGCCGGTCCCTGTTGGGGTTATAGCACACGCTCGGTGATGACATCACTCAGGCGTTATCCCGCCAGCAGCTGTGGTTAGCAGCTACCGTGGTTTGAAACACAAGCAGAGCCTGCAGGCTGCCATCCATCATCGGGGGTCTGTGGTGCGGCTGAGGGGGGGTTTCTGGCGGGGGACAGCAGGATTTACACTTGCGTTCCTGGAAGCCCATGACAGCCCCGGCGAGGTGCGGGCCTCGCTGTCCGTGCCAAACCCTGGCTAAGCACATTTTTTTACAGCCCAGCGGTCACGAGTGCTGGGACCGGGGTGGGGGGGAGGGCACTTCCGAGCCATCCCATCCCAAGCAAAGCCCCCGTCACTTTGCTGAGTGGCACTTTCCCTTGGTCCTTCCAACTTCGCTGTGTCATCTTCTGCTCCAGGAACATTTCTCATCTAGCGGTGATTCATGACATTTCCACATGTTGTTTCCTTCTGGGAGGATGTTGGAAAAATTCTGTATGTCAGGCCATAGAAGCATCTGATCTTGGGTGGAGCACCTTTTAAGGGAATGCGAGTATAGAATATAGATGGAGGGAACCCCCCAGGAGTGATACTGTTCTTCTGCTGTCTTTGTGATGTTCCACTCTTCAACTTTGTGAGAGAATTACTATGTTTGGAGTAAATGTATCTTTATGGATTCAGACACCATGAGCAGCAGTAACAATCCAAGCAGCTCCACTGATTAAACTCAATGCTGCATTTCTGTTTTTCTAATGAACTTTAGTGGCATGTGTGTTTGTGCTGGAACATGTCAATTAAATATAATGTTCATGTGGAACCTGCTAGAACATTAAGTCAGCACAAACTGACATGACTGGTTTTATTTTTCAGGTTGGGTGAAGAAAAGTTCATTTAATTCCTAACCATTTATAGCTCTCTGATGCCACCCCTCTCCCCTCTCTGCGTTTCAGGTATGGCGACATGGTGCCTAAGACCATTGTGGGAAAGATCTTTGGCTCAATCTGCTCCCTGAGCGGAGTCCTGGTCATCGCCCTGCCTGTCCCCGTAATCGTCTCCAACTTCAGCCGCATCTACCACCAGAGCCAGCGTGCGGAGAAGCGTCGAGCCCAAAAGGTACCATGCGCAGGATTCTTTTTTTCTGCATTTGTCCCACATAACTGCCAGGGTGGTGCTATGGGTAATGTTAAATTTGTGTTCTGTGGAAAAGGCATTATTTTCAGTTCTAGATAATTGATATGTGACATTCTGTGAAGCATTGGGAGAAAGGGGGTGAAAATCCCCCAGACCAGAGAGAAATCTTCAGAGCAGCACAGGTGGATTGTGGGAAACCTCATGTGTGTGATGTAAAGTTAACCCATGGGCTGTCACAAAATGACCTCAGACAGCTTAAAAATAGCCTCAGGCTTCACTTTCCTTATACAGAACATAGTGATTGCTCCTTTGACTTATGTGTATGTATGTTGTATTGATATATGTACGTATATGTGTATATAAACATATTAGTCTGATTATGTAACCTGTTTGTGTAGCATTTCCCTCTTGGGACACAGGAAACATTATTTGTGCAGATATGCTGCACCCACCCTGTTCTTAAAGCCCCAGGTGATTATCACTGTTAGAGGACTCTTATGCTGAAATGTGGCTCTGGTTTTATGCTTGGGACAGGGCCGGGGTGATTATCACTGCTAGAGGACTCTTATGCTGAAATGTGGCTCTGGTTTTATGCTTGGGACAGGGCCGGGGTGATTATCACTGTTAGAGGACTTTTATGCTGAAATGTGGCTCTGGTTTTATGCTTGGGACAGGGCCGGGTGGGGGTGGTATTGAGGCCGGGGTGGGGGGTGCAGGGGGCCCTCTCTCAGGGGTCCTCCCGAGGATGTATTTCTGAAGCGACACGATATCACATGGAGACCTGCTTCTGGCTCCCATCTCTTAATTTAGAAGGTTTAGCTCTAAACAGGAGGCCCCTGGGCTAAAAGGACAACGTCACCCAGTGCCACGCGGGCCGCAGCTGAGAAAGCAGTAGGCCAGTGCTCCCAATAACAATAATCTGTTTTTCCAGTTAACCCGGGAATGCTCAATGAAGCAAGGGGAGCACCGAGAGTGAGGAGAAGCTAAAAATATGTTCAAGAGTTCAGGAGAAATGCAAAGGACAGCGAGAGTTTGCTGTGTAACTATTCACACAGTGAGGCCTTCGGCAGTTAAAGACAGAGGAAGTGGAAATAAACATGTCGCGCGCGCGTGTGTGTGTGTGTGTGTGCGTGCATGTGCGTGTGTGTGCATGCGTGCGTGCGGATTAGGTTTATATTACATTGCGGAGACCAAATGTTCCCCACAATGTAATGTTTTTTTGACGTTCTGATCTGTTCGAAAATCGAAAAAGTAAAAATGCCAAAAGTCTTGAATTTTGTTTGGTTACTTATGGTTAAGGTTAGGGCTGGGTAGGGGTTAAGGTTGTCATGTTGGGATTAGAGTTTTCCCCATAAAAATGAATGGAGAGTCCCCACAAAGATATGAACACAAACCTGCGTGTGTGTGTGTGTGTGTGGTTGCCCCCCCCCAGGGTACATACTTTCCATGCCTCTTTGTGTCGCAGTTATTGTGTGTCTCCATGACTTTGTGTGACTTAAATCAGCAGGAGCTCTGAATAATTAGCTTTACAATTAAATGTATATTTTCAATCAGAGGCCCTTATAAAGATCTGTAAAGGATTATAATGTTAGTGAATGCAAACATTAATTACATGTTAATTACATGTTAATAAATGACATTGTATGAAATAGTATGATCTGTCATGTAGTTGTGCTGTTAGGGCACCAGCAGGAGAGAGCCCCGCGTTTCTCTGGTTCTACAGCTAGGGGGCGTGTCAGGTTTCCCTTTTTCCTGTCCAAATGGCGGCTTTGGCCGTGTGTTTCAGCCGGCAGAGGGACGGGCTGCCCCCGCCCCTGCCCACCCCGCACCGGGGGAGCGTAGGAGGGCTAAACGGACGTGTGTTTGTTCAAACAGAAAACCAGGCTTGCTAGAATTCGTGCGGCGAAGATCGGCGGCGCTAGCGCCTATTTGCAGTACAAACGCAATGGGCTCCTCGGCGACAGGCTGGACGAGGTAACCGGGCCGAAGTCGGCGGGTTCGGGGTGCGGCGCCGGCGGGCCGCTGCATGCGCCCGGGCCTCGCCGCCCATGCGGCCCCCCCCCCCCATTTCGTGGTGTCTCTAATCGCTGCACTCTGGCTCTGGCACAGCACTGACCCACCCTCACACCCCCCACAGGCGGGAGGGCCACATTGTCTAAAGTGACTCATGACCCCCCCCCTCATCAACTGCTGCATGTGGCTTGAGCGGGGCCTTCAGGGGGGTAGCCGTGAGGGAGGGGGCCACCACAGACACACCCTTTACTCCTCCGGTGGAGCTGCCATGCCTTCTTTTCCCGTTTTTTTTTTCTTTCGTTCTTGTTTCTTTGCGTCTTTATTATTGTGTCCTTCCCATGCATTTTGGAGCAAAGCAGCCATGCGATGCCGTCGCCGGGCCCCAGCCTGTGTTCTTGCAGCCCAACCTCCCATGGTATCACCCAAAAGCATCGTGGAGGAATGAGACTGTCTGAGCTGCATGACGTTCACTGGCTTCTGGGAGGGGGGGCGAGGGGCGAGAAGGGACAGGAGATCACTGCTGGGGCAGTGTCGGCCGGCTGCTTGTACGCCCCCCCAGCCCCGAGTCCTGGGTCTCGGTTACATGCATCCGGCCGACGGCGTCTGCGGTCGTTTGCCCTGTCGTTGGGTTGCACCCTTTGATTTGCTGGATTTGGAGGGGTCTTCATGGCTTAGACGAGGCTGCGTATTTGCTTATTCCCATGTCACATGCTGCTAGAGTGCTCTGGGTTTGATAGCCGATTGGGTGAAATCGGGGCTTTCTATTGGATGGACCGGCTGTCCGTCAGGAACGCTGAATCTGAGCCATAAGGGACCCTTCAGAGTTACAGGCATGTTTCCGTTTTCTCTTGCCGGGACGATCAGAGGCTGCAGGAGGGAGCCAGAGACGGACCATCCCAACGTCCTTGACATCTCCACAGCACCCCTGTCCTCACAGAGGTGGTGCTGTAGCACTGTGACGGTGTTACTCGGTCCTTGGGTGGAGTCCCCGGCTCTCTCCTGCCCGCCGCCTTTTCAGTGGACCTCAGCTGACAATTCGTGTCGTGTCTTTCTTTGTGTCCAAAGGCTTCGAAGGAGGCGGGTCAGGCCCTGGTGACCAAGACCAGCGCCACCTTCGAGAACCAGCACCATCACCTGCTGCACTGCCTGGAGAAGACCACGGTAGGCACTCGGCCCACGTGTGTGTGTGTGTGTGTGTGTGAGGTGATGCTACTCTCACTGCCGCCCAATGCACAGTCATTGAGATGCAGGTCACAGGGTTACGCGTTTCAACACTGCCGACGTTTCCAAGGAGCCCCTGAAGTGAATTTAAATGAAGGAGGGCCACTGAAAACTTCTTTCTTCTCCTGCGCCGGGTTCACGGGTCTGGGGGGAGGGTTGGGTCAGTGAATTTCCTCTGTGCTGAACACCATCAAACTTCAATACTAGCCAAGGACTGGACCCCCTTTGCCGCACCCCGCCTTCCCATAATCCCCCTATTGGGAGAGCAAGTGTAGGTCGGGTATTCGGTCAGCTGGGGCCGCAATCGGAGATGTTCCAGTTTCCTCCTGGACGTCCTCCCAGGCGAATGAGGGAAGGGTGTGGGGGTCCGTCTCTAATCACAGGCACCTTGGCTGTGGGGGCTCTGACATCACCAGCCAGGGAATGAGTGCCCACTGGCTACCTTCCATGTGGTATTATGGGACAGGAATCGAGATACAGGCCTGTGTTTAGACCAGGGGTCTCACCACTAGATGGGCACTGCTGATGCTATATTCTTTGGTATATGAGGGCCCTTAAAATCTCATTTGTTCTTAAAGATGCCCGTTCGAGGCTACATCAGCACAAGGTCCTCGAGCGGGCATCCTTAAGAATGAATCAGATTTTAAGGGCCCTCATATACCAAAGAATATATGGTAATATATGGTAAAATGACGACATCAGCAAAACAGCCAATTCAAATGGAGTTATCATTTTCTCACATTCCGGGACATGCGCCCCCCTCTGTCATAGATTATTCAGATTCCCCATTGCCTCCGGGAACAAAGGGAATGTTTTCAACAAGCAAATCACGGACATGCCAGTCTCCTCTCTCGGCCGATTTCCACTTCCTCGGCACACAAGCACCGTCCTGTTCAGCATGGTTTTGTTTTTGAGTTTATATTAATTTAATCTTGCTTATTCCCCGGTGGACGTTTAAGGCCCGTCCAGGGAGAGGCAGTGGAGGAAAGGATACAGAACTGGGTGAGAGTGAGTTGGCTTACACAACCTGCTTTCAAAACCCTGGTATAAATAGTAAGTTCAGCTTGAGGCTGAAGGGTCCCTGTCCGTAGTCCATCAAGGTTTTTTTGTGCGGGAGTGAGACGGTTATGAAGTCGCTCTGAAGGACAAAGCTGCTGGGGGGGGGGGGGGACCAATTACCCCCCCCCCCCCCCCCCCCCCCCCCCCCCCCCCCCCCCCCCCCCCCCCCCCCCCCCCCCCCCCCCCCCCCCCCCCCCCCCCCCCCCCCCGCTGCCGACCTCATTTGTCTCCCGCAGATGCCTCAGTTCGCTTCGTCCGTCTGTCTGCACTAACCAACCCCCCCCCCCTTCCAGAATCACGAGTTTGTGGATGAGCAAACGTACGAGTCGAGCTGCATGGAGGTGTCGCTGACGAACCAGGCCAGGTCGCGCTCCTCCTCCGTCTCCTCCTCGCAGCACGGCCTCTCCTCCTGCTGCTCCCGGCGGAACAAGAGGAAGAGCTTCCACGTGCCCAACTCGACCACGGGCGCGGACCGGCACGGCAGCATACAGGAGCTGAGCACCATCCAGATCCAGGAGAGGCCGCTCTCCAACAGGTACGGCCACTGCAACTGGAACGACCCAATCAACAGCAATCAGATTTAATCAAGCAGGCAGACGTGTCCCTCTCTGCTGATTTCTGCAACGGATGCAGCGTGACACAATGACCTTTTGGGGACAGACGGGTGTGGCTCTCTGCCCATAATCGGTAGGTCGTCCGATGATGTCAGAGTGACATCATAGGGCCCTCGATCAAGGCCCTTATCCTGCTCTCTCAAATGTACATCGCTTTAGTCAAACCAACCGTTTCTAACTTAGATGTTTTATTTACGCAACTCATCTTCAGACAGGCAAACTGGGGGGAGTCTAGGCTTCCCGTCACCCTGTAGCAGAAAAAAAAAAGCAGACAGGACAAGTGAGATGTGAAATCAGCCATCACGGGGGGGACCTCATGGTCTTCACCCCCCTTATGGTCTGCGGTTGCTCGCTACCGATTGAGGTGTGTCATTTAACAGCCACTCCCCCATCCTTCTTGTTTGCCCCCCCCCCACCACTCTCTGGCCGGGCAGCCGGGCGAGCCTGAATGCCAAGCTGGACGAGACGGCACAGCTGAACTGCGACCAGCCATTCCTCACGGCGGCCATCATCAGCATGCCCACCCCTCCCGTCACCACCCCCGAGGGTGACGAGTCCACCAGCTCGGCTGACTACTTGCAGAGCAACATTGTCCGCGTGTCGGCGCTATAGACTCGCACCTTGAACCGGCCACGGCCAGGAAAGACCCCATCCCGTACACCTACATCCCAACCCCCCCGAACCCCACCTGCTGGAGAGTGGAGGGATCGCCACGACCGGAAAGCCAGACTAGATTTATTTTTTGACACATAGGGCGTCGTGTTGGAATATAGCGTGCGTCTCCAGGTCGGCCCTGGTGCACAAAACAGAACCAATGACAGCATGGCCTTGTTTCCCTGGGGACGGCTGACTGGTGAGCACCACTCAACTTTCAGCATCATTTCCTATACTCTTAGAAGAGAATTATTTTTGCAACATTGCGTGTCTTTAAATATATATATATATATATATATATATATCTCGTCGTTATGACTTGGGTGGGGGGGAGAGGCCATTTTTGTAAAAGTTAATTTGTGGACACGAGCGGAGAAGTCTTTAATGTGACTTTCGATGCTGTGCGGGGGGAGACAGACTTTTGATACTAATAGCTGTTATGTGTTTGTGTAAGTGACTTAAAGGCCATCCTCGTGCATGTCCTTAAAACGTTGTCTGCATTTTGTGAATCCGATGGCCCGGCGCTCCCGTTCAGCATGAGCAATAAAGGTTCGTTCAAAGCCGGCTTTTGTGTCCCTCAGCGCCTAAGTCCACCTCAGGCCTTACCCTTCTCTACTAGGACGTGCAGTACCCTTAACGGGACTCTTATAGACCGGCCAACATGATTATCTTCGACATCATTCATGATGTTTTTGTCTGGGCCGTCTAAATCTTAATCATTATCCACCCTCCCCCAATGCTGGCTTTGTGAACATAGCCCAGTATACCCCGTTCCAGTGGGTTTTGTCTGGTTTTTATTATAATGGTTTAATTGCGGGTGGATTTACATTTTCCTGCATGGGGGGGGGGAGGGTCCATGCGTTTCACAAGCATGCCTCCTGTAGAGGGTTCCGGAGCGTCACACAGAATCCAGAAATTAAGGTTTACGGCAGCCTAACAAAGACGTGAAGTGGTGGGACCGTCGCCGTTTTCCTCCGATTAGCGTATGTCGGTCGTGATGTGGGAGAGCCCCCTAATTGATTTATTTTTTAAAATTTCTCAGCTGATTTCATGAGGTTAATTGTAATGCGGGGGAGCTACAAGGAGCAATGGAAAGTGCTACAGTAGCTGGAACGGTGACACCGATGACAGGAGGCTCTCTGAACACTTAGCGCAGCTTTTCACGCCTGGCCTGCGGATAAGCCGGAACACTTCAAAGCACTCGGGCTGGTTCCCGGTCCACCTTTCATCTGCAGTTCCCCTTTTTTCCTGATAGTTTCTCGCAGGTGTTAGAGGGATGGAGTGGGATTTGTTTGCCGCTTCACAGACAATAAATCATATAAAAAAAACCTTATGATTACAAAAGCACAGATTACTTATGCAGAATCTCAAACCGTCACACAAGGAACATAAGGAATCATGTAAAACGATACGTCACTTACTTGGCGTTGCATACGAACGAACGAGCGAATGAATGAATGAAATGTTTCTTGAAATTTGTAGCGTTCGGCAGCTTCGCAGCTTCGTACCATTAATTGCGCTGCTCGTTTGAAGAGCACTGCCAAAATTCTCCAGCGGCACACTGGCCAAAGAGAGAGGGGGAGATTACCATCAGCAACCTGAGTTCGATCCCTGCTCTGCCACATTAGCAGGAATGCCAAACTGGATTCTATTCCGTCAGGTGGGCTAGACGACTGGGCCCTTCTCATCGCTCAACAGTGGCACCTGCAGGGCTGTAGGTGAAATTACGCCTGCAGCCCATAGACCAAAACAGGACAAGGGCGAGTTAGGCTTGTAAGCACTGGTGTCATGTGTTGAGAGGAGAACTTGTGCTGGGATCAAATTGGGTCATTCCGAACCGGGGAGAAACATTCCCATGATTTCCTGACTTATGCAAGGCTTTTTTGTAAAGTTCATCTTTGTATCAAGAAAATGCATATTTAAATAAGATGATGGCTGTATTTAGGAATCCAATGTTTGTTTTGGTTTTTTTTTTAACCTGTTAATGACTGTGTTTAGTGCCTGTGTGCTGTGAGTTGTTCTTCTGTGTTGTAAAAATATTTATCTGAGTTTAGCTGTTTCAGCTTTTTCGTTATTGTTCCCTGCGCTTTGTTTTAGTTACGGTTCTGGCTTTCAGTATTTCCAGGTTTTCCTCTTTTTTTTTTCCTAAGAGAGTAAATGGGTACATTTGGAGAATTGCATGCATGCAGTGGGCGGGTTTTTACTGTGACAGAGGCAGGCCACATCTCCCTGTGCAGGTCCGTTTGTGGAAAAACCCGAGAGACTTTTCGAGAAGCTGTAGCTTAATGTACATCAGCTCGTGTGAATTCAGTAAATTATGATGATTACAAATAGTTTAAATTCGTTCAAACAGCTTGTTCTATGGACAACTTATGTAAGATACTGAAAACCTATGAAAAACACGAAGTTGTTTAGTCCAGTGCAGTGTCTATGAATTAAATAAATCACTGTTCTATTAAAATACTTGGGGGAAAAAAAAACTCTTATTGTCTTTTTTTTTTTTTAAAAAGATGCTGAAGTCTACCTGCTTTGACCCACAACAAACTATCACTGACCTAAACGCACCTGCAAAATCAAAGTATTTAATGGGCTGAAGTCACATTGCTGGTATTTGGGATGATGATCTTCCTTATTTTGAGAGCCCGTCACCCCTCATCTCACTGAGTTATATCAGTGACAGAGCATGATTCTATTACACCTTGTAGCCCCTGGCTCTAGGTTTCAGCCGGACCAAGATAGCAGTTCTGGGATCAGATTTCTCCTGCCTAAGCAACGCAAAACACAAAACAGAATTCCCTTGTTAGCGATGTGAAGCTCGAGTTCTCAAGTTTATCGCTCCGCGGTACGTACGATTTCCCGCGGTTACCGGCGTACACAGTGAGGTGGATCGGCACTGCGCCATGGCACGCGTGGGCCCGGGGGGGGGGGTCCGTGTGCCTCTATTTTTACCCGGGGTACAGCGGTTAATGGTGTTATTCATGTTGCTGGCTCATTTGACCCTGCGCCGCTGTGCGTGTCCGTGTAAGACTCCATTAACCAGCTGGCACTGAGCGACCAGGGTACGTGACCAACACTGGCACCACGGGGACCTGCAGGTGTGAACTGCGACGCTGTCAGGGAAGTCCTCGACAGAAATAACAAGACAAAGAAGGTTTACCCAAACATTATACACTAGAGGTCTCCGACCCTGTTTATATGGAGCAGGCGAAGTAAAGAATTCTAATGTACTTGTGCAAATGGCAAATAAAGGATTTATCTTTTTTTTTGTTTCGATGAGAGGTACAAGTTTGGTATAATAAAAGATAGCATCAAACAGGGTGGAGGGGGGTTATCTTTGGCCGACAGATTATTTCTCCTTCCGCAGCCACTCCGCAGAACGTCATTGTTTTGCCTTTGTTTGATTTGGGTGCATGACAGCCTGTGAGATTTACACCCCCTATGTAAAGCAAAATGGAGGCCGGACAGCACTGTCACCCAGGAAGGATGGGGAGGCCACTGTCACACGGCAATAGGGAGGCCGCAGCGTCAGCGGAGGAAGTGGCACAGACCGGCGTCGAACAGAGAGCCCTTGTCGGGTACGGGAGGAAGAGGGAGAGGAAACGGGGGCATGATGACGGCCAGAACAAAACATGCCTTCTGTGAGCTGCCCTGACAGCCAGCTCCACCCCTCTGTCGCGGTATTGTTAGGGGCCCAGGGCTGGGAACGGGAGTGGGAGGTTCTGCGGGCCGAACATTCCTCCATTCGGACGTTTTGTTTACCGGCAGGAGCGAAAAAAACAGACACTAAGCAGAAATGGACACGGGGATCATGATCCCTGCAGCATCTGCCAGCTGTCAGTTTCACGGAGAAGCCCATGTGATCCACAGGCTAATCAACAATGTCTAACTGTTTGAGTGTGAAATTTAACTTGTGGCTAATTTCTGGCTATGAGACAAGCGGATTGCCCTGACTTTATCAAATGTGGTCTGATTAATCGAGGATCTTTTTACAGATGATACGAGCATGTTTTTCATGCCCTTACCACGTTATTACATGTTATGTAGAAGCTGTGAGATTTTCGGCTCAGTGGTGTGTCCAGGGACATGTGCGCTCATCAGGAAAACTTCCCATTACCCGTTTTGTCCCAAAGGGTTTCCAGTGATGTCACTTCCTCCTGCAGCTCACACGGTGCCAGACAGGCCAGATACATGGAACTATTGTTTTCTCGTAGCAAATTCAACAACCTCTTTCTTCACGTGGTGCTGCCTTAATGCTGTCCTGCACACTTCCAGCAATGATTTTGACCAGCAGGGGGCGTGCTGATTAAAGCACCACTTAACACTTACACGACTAACTGAAATGAGAAGATTCCCTTCCTTTGTGCCTCTCTGACTTCTCTCATCTGAGTAGCATGTATGTTCACCCAAGACCTCACCCAGCTCCAGAAGATTCTTTAGGGCACCTTGTACTATTTCGGGCTTGGCCGAGAGGGTCGTACAGTGGCTGCATCTCAGCATAGCACCGGATTCCATAATCCCCCTGAAATGTCCGGGCGAGTCGGCTGGCAGAGACCTCGAGGTGGGCAAACAGCTGTATGACAGCTGATAAACACAGGTCTGCCTGGCCCTTCACGGCCGCAATTATTGCATCCTCACAGGATTTAATACAAACTCAGAAAAAAAATGAAAAATACAGCATGACCATTGCTGTCTTCACACTTTGAATTTCCACCCCTTGTGTTCTTACAGTAGCCAGTATGACCTTGAATAGTTGATACCCTCATAATATTCAGATTTTAAAATCTAACCGTATCAAACAGCGCTATTCAGCATTTCACAGTGCTTTTAAATTAAGACTTTTTAAACTCTTCATTTTTTTTTTTGTTGTTGTTGTTATTGTCCCGCTCAGAGCAGCTGCTTTTGACAACAGCTGCCGTTCCGAACGTTCACATTCCTCCGAGGCACACAAGCAAAGTCCTCTATTTTTAACGGATAAAACTAAGACTTCCGTTTGCGGGAAATGATGAATGCGGCCAGTTTTCGCTTCCTGCCGTAGCGCAGTGGGGTGAAGCGGGAACGGTCTTTAACTGCATCTAGGCCCACGGGGCAGATCTCTGACGTCCTTTGGTGTCCACAGCGCAGTCCGGCCTCCGACTTACTGCCTATTCCCATGGCAACGGGGCGCGAGAGGGAGTATTAAGAGAATTGCTCCATCTCGAAGTGGGCGTGACCATTGGCCGGCGCCGGCCCCCAGGCCTCCGCGAGTCGTGGGGGGTCTGCCTTGGGTGGCTCCTCTGGCCGGGAGGGCGGGGCCAGGGCGGGATCTCCCCAGTGGGCCACGCCCTGATCTGGGGGGTCGGGCGCCCGTTTGTGATAATAAAGCGCCCACAGTAGGGTCATAGTCAGCGTCATGGCCAGGATCTGGGAGACGCCAATGGACACGCCCAGGAAGCGGAGCGCCTGCAGCTGCTTTGTGCCGCGGATGAAGCTGTAGACCTTCGGACCGCAGCCCTGGAGACACAGAAGAGAAAGTTTGGCGGCGTAAAAACAGTATCAATATCTGTCAGCACGCAGCGCTTAGGGGGC